ATGCTTTGGAAATCCTGCAATCGACCGAAATCTGCACGACAGTTTACGAACCGGAATTTCGATTTCGGTGCGCAATTTTGATTGGACTATGCATAGTCCAGCCAAAACTTAACTCCATAATACCAGCCTAGTTCGGCAAGGGTGTAAACTAGACTTTTATAGTCAGTTAACTCTCATGCCTCGATAAGATGGGGATTCAGGTGCATGACCTGATTGTTGAGTGTTCGGGCAAAAAGAGCTTAGAAGCTAGAAACTTTTTTTTGTTTTAGGATGTTTCCACACAAGGATTGGAAGGAGAAGGATGAAATGCATAGAGTGAAAAATTGGAATATGTTAAGCCCAACAACTAACTACACATGTACTAAGTTTTACATAATTTATTAATGAAAGGAATAATATTAGTATACTTATCCTGGCACAACACACTACAACACATTGCAATTTTCCTTCTTCATATATCATAATACAGAACCAAAAACATGCTTCTTCTACCTCCAGGGTGCCCCTTGCCATTTGGTTACAAATTGCACACAGGGTACAGCATTTCTTTCGGAATTTTTGTTTTAAAGCTCTGCACGCTAACGTCAAACCCATTCGACAGAGGTGTCACTTCCCGTGCATCTGATGTTGAACCCATCCGACAGGCGAATAGCATAACGACACCCCAAAATAAAACTCGCCATATCTATTTACCAAGAAGGCTTTGCGTAACATTTAAATTACGTATGACATGCATAAATGCTCAGCTTGATCAATATCAAAACTTTCATTTATTTACCTCAAAAAGAAAATATCGCGAGTTAAAAAAGTTTCGGCTAAACTTCTCGGCACACAACTACCAGAAACGGCCATTGTTGGCTTTTGGCACTTCACGTTGAGCGGCATGCAGTCCGATATTTTCTTTATAATTTCATCATTTTTCCTATTTGATCATAAATTTTTGTTTGCTGACGAAAGGAAAACACTCATGTTACTTAATTTCTAAAAATAACATTTTGGTACACGACGAGGTAGTGTAATATAAATAGATTCTAGGCTCCTATATGTTTTCATGTAGATGAACAGAACACATAATAAAATATTTCATCAAGTTCATAATATGATTATGACTGTGATCCTTGAAATTGATTGTTTAGTTTTGAGAGAAAATTGACGTCTTGGTACTGAAAAAGAGGCCAGTTAAGTTGGTTAAACCTAAGTTAGAATGAATTTTTTTGCTAGGAAAGTGATATTATGTTAAGTTTAAGACACCAAAATTGATGTATATCTTTGAAATAATTCTTGGTAGATCTGTCATGGCGACTGATTTACGACACCCATTGTCTGAAGAACATTTAATTGCAAAGGCTCATTACCCTGGGGCCATGACATCTATATGCCTTGAAACATTTAATTGCTGTTATTTATAAGATGCTAATCCTATTTGTTAATCCCCATTTTTGTGTACATCGACCGTCTGCCACCCTGAACAGGATGTGCAAGTATGTCACTGATGATTTACTGTTTACATTTATATTTATTACTTACTGAATGTCAGGTGACCTTGGCTATATAAGCCTTGGTCCAGAGAGAAAAAAGAAAAAGAGAAGGAGAAAAAAAGGTCTTACCCTTAGCCTAGCTAGGGTTAGGCTGGGTGTTCCGGGGCACCAAGACAACAAGCACTACCACTATGTGCTGACTTGGCACATAGTGTCATTTGTATGTATATATCTACATGTATAAAGTAAAACTGTATATACTGCAAGCCATCGTCTCTGACTTGTCACTTCCTACTGAGAACCATACGTCGCCCCTTGCATATACGAGTGTGCAAATCGTTCATTAATCAACGTCGAACAGTTCCATGATAGATCTACAAATTCACATACCCATTTAGGTAACAAATTAGTAGACCTTTTGGGTACAAAAGTCACCACTGTACATTTCAACTGGTTTTCGTGAATCAATGGGATAAAAAAGATTTGTTTGAATGATTCCTTTTCTCATTTTAAGATAAGAATTTGTTTTACATAACATAACAGGCAGATCTACACGGATCACGTTTTGTCCTAAAAATATATAAAAATGTGAAAAAATATGGACACCTCAGAAATGAGGGCTTATAAGGTTATAATTCTTCCTAACTTGCCACATGGTTTGACTTAGATCTAGGTCTATCTAAGAAAAGTCCTTATGAAAATCTTTTTTTATTTTTTTTTATGACACTGACATTTCTGGCACTTAGACAAAGAGTATTCAAGGAAAGACAGAGATGTTTTTGAATGAAAATATGACTTTCCTTTATAATTCTTTTTTCATGATGACAGGGGAACTTTTATACACACCAGCTGAGGAAGTTTTGATACTGTGATTGCATACAAAGGAAAAACAGGTTGGAAGCAGTACCTGTAGGTATAAAATAGACCACATAAGGTGAACAAAAGTAATGGATTGGCTGACTGGAAAAAATACATCTGGCAAGGGTAAACATGTACACAGGCATGTTTCTTTTCATTCCAACCAGAAGACTGAGATAGCATTTTCTAAGAAACATTGGCTAACTTACCAGCTTATGTACCACCATGGTTCTTGTGATTAAACAAACAAAAATGTCATGTACTGTTACAAGCACTGTTACTGTAATTAATATATCATATTCCTATTAAATTATATTTTAACCACAAAATGCACAAGAATAATGTCCATATGAGTTTAGTATGTATATGTTAAGGCTCTGATTTATTCATTATTCATGGAATACTAAAATTAAAATGATGACATCAGAGAGTTACTTATTCACATAGTTGATTTTCAGAGTGAAAGATAATAATTGTTGAATAAATATGTTTAAACTAAAGATAATAATTGAAGTTTGATCAGTTACACTGTGCTGATGCAAAGACTAATATTTACTGTCCCCACACACCATCATTGTGGAAAAAAATAACTTCTAAATATAACTTAAAATTTTAAAACCTGTAAACAGTTGTAAATAATTAAACAATTACAAATCTATCATCAATACGCAATCATGGTGGTCTTCATATTTTTGGAATAAATTTAGAAATCCTTTGTGAAACTGTTCTCAAATCATGCTAGAATCTATGAATGTATTCCCGAAAGGAAAACTATCCCAAATGTAATGTGGAACTAACACCGAAAATATGTACGTAGCATTTTATTGCTTATATACACCCTATCATATTCAGCAACGCGGGGATGTTATTTTGAAACACGTTTTGTCAAGCCCATTTTCGCGCACCTGTTGTAGAGGGTGATCTTGCTGATCGACGATATCCACGATATTACGTGGGATACACTTGTTGTTGGAAACTTATCAGCGTGTACATCGCAGAAATATGAATCATGTCCCATTTATATTCACCGTAACATTGAATGGTGATTCTTATATATCAACAGAGGTTTAAATAAAAGATACCGAGAAACTTGCATGTGGCATGTTGATTTATCGTTTACCGTTTCCGGGTCACGGGAGCATGCAAGGTCAAACGGATTAACTAATACGCGAATTATATCGTCAAAGTCACATTTTTATTTCATGTTAGTGGTGATTACTGATACTGTGTATTGACTTATGTTTTTGCTGTATGTGATAGGCGAACTATTTCAAAATTTATTGTAATTGTTTTGTTTCGAAAGATTATCAGCAGACTACCCCTGTCTGTGACATCACATCCGGTGACCTTTGCACTTATTGAAATAGTACTGTCAGAATTCACGATCTTTATTTTCGTATTTCTCTCGTCATATTAATCGGAATATGACGAATAAAACATTCTTCGATTGAGAAGATCGTCAACTTTCGCCAAGGCATATTAATAAAGGCAATTTAAACTTTGTCGGGCGAAGCGCGCCATGTTTGATTTTAGGACGTCTGCTAGCATCATGACACTGGTTGTTTATTTTTGTATATCGTAAATATTCAACCAAAACGCTTGAAATTAGGATTAGTGAATATTTATAAGTCATTAATTGTTTCCTGCAAATTTTATAACATGACACGTCAGATTAACCCGAATATTCGTATTTCTGCAACCGACATGATGACCTCGAAAATTAAGTTATTTTTCTGTTTAACGTTTAAATAATAAATTCACTGAAATGGTTCATAATTTACCATCGTGCTGTTATATGCCGATAAAAAAACCCGAATTTTTGCTCAATTAAAATCAAGAAATCGGAGATATGATTATTGAAATCAATTTGAACAAATGTTACGATATTAAAAGGTTCCTAGCATGAAATGCAAACCACCTTCAATAACGCAATTCAGGTAAGTTCAAGAACATTTACAAATTTTGTGTTCGCTTTGGTCTTAACCTTGGTATGATTGAAAACATCAGGATATTTTTATATAGGACTCTGTAGTTTTCTATCAGGAATAAATGTGCCAAATATTTCTTCAATTGGCCCTTGTTTAATGAGGCGCCGACTGTTTGAAATCACCCACCCTCTTTAGAGCGCCTTATGCTAAAATTAATCCAGCAGGCAGGGGTAAGAAGTGTGAAAATAATTCAGCAGGCTAAAGGTTAATGGAAGAGACCGAGTTTATTTTACCGATGTATACAATTTATTTATCAAAGTAATAAAAGCTTATCCAAAAATTCTTGAAAACAATATGATTATACTTCAGGCTGTTGAAAAAAGAAAGAAATTGTCTGCCACAAAAATATACATAGTTACAGGGTGTTTCTCTTAGAACAAAATTTCACACTAACTTTTAAATAAAAATATATATCTTGTTTTGTAGCTGTAACTGAAAAAGTATCTAATCACGATACAAAAGCATTATTTTAGATGTCAGATCAGACTACATTAAAATTCAAAGTTGAAAATTTATGTTTCATGTGGAGAAATTACATTTTACTTTTTGATTTGATGCATACAGAACAAGAATTCTGACATTTTCTCACAATGACTTGAGTTTGAATTTAACAGGATTAAGGACTAAATATATGGGCAGCAGACAATAAGACTGAAAGTAACAGGTAACTACTGACCTTAAGTGCACGTACTGCCTCCCATTTGAAATTTTGTTCTCTTGAAGTCTCCTGTTTTCCCAAATATATCTGTCTTTGCATTTCCTCCCCTGTACTTGTTTCATCTGATTCTTTTTGTATTCCATCATTTTGCCCTAATGATTCATGTTCTAGTACTGTCAGTTTCCCACTATCTTCAGATGAACCAACATGCCCCTGGCTTTCCAAGTTCTCCTCCTTCCACTCGATGTCCTGAACTTTTATCTTGAGAGCTTTCATTGTTTTCTGTTTTTCTATTTCTGTCCTGTCATCTTCATTCATGTGGGTAATCATTTGTCCCACAGTTTTAACAGCTTCCTGCAATTAAAATATGAGTTTATAAGGATAAACATAACAACCACTGCCAACAAATGCTAAGTATTATGAAGATCTAAACCAGGAAGCTAGGTGCTTTCATCACATTCAAAAACATAAGCACACCATTCCCACATATTCATGAAAACCAAACAAAAACCCTGATTCCAGCTACTTTACTGACAAAATTATAAGTGATTCCAGTTTAACGACATCACTTCCATTGAACAATCTTCCATTGGGCAATGTAAGTGATGTCATTAAACTGGAATCACTGATAAATTTGTTTACAATGCCAAATGTAGTAGAACTCTGAAACAGAAAGTTCAGTGATAATTACTGTGAATCTGAAAGTAATTCCGAAGGTTTCAGACACCATGTTAAGATTACCAAAGATCAAAGCTACCATTGCATATGTTAATAGCAGGAAGCAGTATGCTGAAATGGTAAGTCAGTGTAAGTCAGAAATATTTAAACTACAGATGCATGAGTTGTAGTTGAGAAGGATTGTTGGAGTAGCGTGTTTATCTAACAGTATAGATTTACACCGGTAATCATCTTTTGACTTTCTAAGTAATCAACAAGGATCACACACTTTGCATCTCAGAATACAGAAGCCATAACTTTCTCCACTGATCTCGAAGACTTGAATTTCTTTGGCGCTGGAGAAGTGGAATGGTGCCATTCCATGGACTGATGTTTTGACTCAGGGTCATAGAGGTAGACCCATGTTTCATCACACATTGCTAATCTCTTTTTGAATTTGACGAAATCCTCCTCAATTAGCTTTAAATTTTCTCTGGCAGTAATTATGGCTGCAATTCAGACAATAGGACAAAGTCATCAATATCCCCTACAATGAAAAATATTTGTGAATACGTCAACTAGTTTATATATATGGAAACTAAAAAAATATATTTTTCAAAAGTCACAAACTATCAAAAGGCACTAGTTCACCACTAGACCTATCTATGTGCCAAGCCTGGTAAATAAATATTGTATGGTTTTCAAGATCTGCTCCAGAAGCGAGCACTACTGCCATTTCCACCCTAAGTCAAAATTGTTGCCGTTTTTCAAAAGTCACCAGTTCACCGATAGATCTATCTATGTGCCAAGCTTGATGAAGAAATATTGTACGGTTTTCAAGATCTGGGGCGGTATTCATAAAAGAACTTAAGTCTGAAAAAAAACTAAGTTTTTCACCTTTTCTGACTTAAGTTTTAAGATTTGACTTAAGTCATATTCATGAAGCAACTTAGGCTTAAGTTTTACCAATTTCTGACTTAAATCTTAAGACTGGGAAGGGGTAGGCTTAACTACAAGGTGTTTGACTTAAGTCAATAAACAAAATGGCTGCCGTACCGCTAGGGCGTTGTTCGTTTTATCAAAGAAGACAAAGTCTTGTTGAACACAACGATGAGGAGTTAATACGGGGATACCGTCTAGATGGAAATGGCATTAGATACGCAGCTAATTTAATAGCAGCTGACGTGGAGCCTGCAACTAACCGTAACCACGCACTTGACGAGATACAAAACAAGCTGATCACATTAAGGTACTTTGCAACGGGAAAGTTTCAGTTGTGTAATGCAGATGATCAAGGTGTCACCGAGCCCACCATTTCCAGAGTTGTAAATCAGTGCATCACCAGTTTGTCATCTGACAGGATTGTGAAACAGTTTGTCCCCCTGCAAATCGGGGACATTAGGCGTCACCAAACCAACTTTTATCACATTGCGAACTTTCCCGAAGTTGTCGGGGTGATCGATGGAACACACATACAAATCCAGGCTCCAACAGAAAACGAAAATTAATACATAAACCGACATCATTATCACAGTATAAATACGCAGATCGCTTTTGACAGCGACTACAGAGTAACTGATGTTGTTGCTCGGTGGCCGGGATCGACACACGATTCACGTATGTTGACAAACAGCTGGCTCTACTAGCTATTGGAGCGCAATGTTGTACCCATTGGATGTCACCTCCTCGGTGACAGTGGTTATCCCTGCAAGAACTGGCTACTTACCCCTTTCCTAAGACCATTGCCGGGATCACAAACAAACTACAACAGGTATGTAAAGTTTCATGTTTAGTTGCCGATCGTAATCAACAACTTAGAGTGATGAACCCTGTTGAAGATTAATGTTACAGGTTACACTCTGATATGTTATGTTATTTCAGGTCACACCAAAGAACCAGGAGCATAGTAGAAAGGGCCATCGGTCAACTCAAACGCAGATTTCCTGTTCTCCATGGGGAAATCAGGTTAAAACCTGAGAAGGCTTGTAAGGTAAAAATTATGATCAACAAATGTTAATTTGTGTGCACTATTTATTTGCCACACAAATAAGTTCAACAAAACAAAAATGTAACAAAGCTAAATGACAATATATATATATAAAATAACAATTCCTAGAGAGGAAAGCAATGATTGAAAAAAAGCAACAAGATTTCATTGAGTTACATAATTATTTCAAACATGGTTGTTTGAATTTATGTTAACAATTGCAATTGAAAATATGAAAAGAACAATGCATTGGCTCATCATCTATTAAAGTTTGTGCATGGACATGAACTTGTTCAGATTGACTTTTGTATCTAAATCAAGTGAATTTATATATACAGTTATGTCTTTAAGGCAATAACAGGGCAGTTGTAGATTGGTAATGACTAGGAGCAGATAAGGGAAGATTCATACATATTTGAAGTATAGAATTGTTAAGGTGCATGTGGAGATGATCAGGAAATGATGGGGTTGTAGGAACTTGTTTGTTATTTACAGTAATATTTGTATGTTCAACTGAGGCCAGGTAAAAGCCTAAATGTGAAGTGTAAATGATGTTAATTTATCATTAATGATTTCATATTTTAGGTGATAATAGCATGTGCTGTTCTACACAACATATGCAAGGACAGAAATATCCCAGTACCACCCACTGATGGGCATGATGGACTTGGCAGGCTTGATGGACAGAATGGAGCTCAAGCAGTGACAGCTGATATTATCATTTTATACATTTATACTAAGTTTTCATGTAATAATTAGATCCACAGCAAGTGGTTTTATAAGTTATTCGTGGTGTAAAATTTATACAAAATTTCATATAATTATACCAAGCAGACCTTTCTCCCACAACCCAGAGGGTTGTACCGACCCTCTGTGGCACCCTCAGCTATATTTTAAGATATTGTAAATTGTTCATGTTTCTTGTATATAAAATTGTAATTAGTCTCCTGTGACTCCAGCTCTTTGCTGACTAATTCCCCCAAGAAATCCAGCACGCCATTTGGAAGGTTTTGTACATCAGAACAGAACCATAATAATTTTCTAACCCGAAAGGTATCTCATATCATAAATGTACCTGTCAGTAGGTGAACCAGAGGAATTGAGGGTTGCTGTAATAACCTGTTAAGGGAAAGTAGTAAGTGTCTTACAAATGTGGAAATACTAAAATATTAAGGGGGCCGAAACATTTTTTGAGGGTGCTGAGATTATATTAAAAAAGTAGTCTGATCCCGAATATATATAAAAAATATTTTTCTCAAGTTAATGTATTCAGCCGATAATTAAGATGTTAATACTTTGGATATCACTTCAAGATTTCACATTCAGCCCCAAGTCTGCTGCAAGGGCACTGTCAGTTACAAAACTCAAATTGGAAATAACAAGTGTCCCAGTTTATGATAGTAACAGAATATGTTATGGCTATAGTAGAGGTAACTTAAATTTCACTGATAACAGGACCAATCACACCTCTTGATGCCTCCCCGATGTCACGCCCGGACCAAACTTTCCTTCAAACACATATACATTTGCTTTCACTAGTTCCGTCAACAGTAAAACCTCCTCTTTCGTCCAGTTAGGCTTCCTCTTCTTCATATCTGTGCCTGACATGACGTTGGCAATGTGGACAAAGTTTCGCTGTGTGTATTGTCTGCCGTAAAAAACAACCGGGAAATCCCACCGAAAAATACGTTCATACCTCTTTTTTTTTAAAGAGTTCCACCGGAAGTTTAAAAATAGCTGGGGTTCCCCCTAATGATCCTGCGGGTACGTACTACGAAACTGACTTAGTTTTTCTTTGGAGACTTAGCTAAGTTTCGGACTTAGCATCTTTATGAATATCAACTTAAGTCTCAGACTTAGCTAAGTCAGATTTGAAAAACTTAAGTTTTGACTTATGAAAAATCTTTGGGTTTTTTATGTATACAGACCCTGCTCCAGAAACGAGCACTACTGCCATTTCCAGCCTAAGTCAAAATTGTTGCCATGGAAACTTGGAAAATATTTTTTTCAAAATCCAAATTTCAAAAGTCACCAGTTCACCGCTAGATCTATCTAGGTGCCAAGCTTGATGAAGAAATATTGTATGTTTTTCAAGATCTGCTCCGGAAACGAGCACTACCGCCATTTCCGCCTAAGTCAAAGTTGTTGCCATGGAAAGTCGAAAAATGGTGTTTTCAAAATCCAAATTTCAAAAGGCATCAGTTCGCCACGAGACCTATCTATGTGCTAAGTTTGGTGAAGTATTGTACAATTTTCAAGATCTGCTCCAAAAACTACAACTTGCAAGGACAGACTGATCGTGTCCATTTTAATACATACCCCCCCACTCCCCAACCAAAACATGTTGCTGGATATAAAAAGACTAAATGAATGTTAGTCGCAGCAACAGATACAAGCGGTAGCAATGAAATTGTTTGAAATAGTGTCAAAGCACCAGTATATTGTATACCGTGTCAGTGAACAAATTCTCGAGCAAGTGGCCAACCAATGAAAAGGAATTCATTGGGACCTCAACCTGTCTGGTCCAGATCACGAAAAAACAAATATGCTTCCAGTGTGGATATTTCAATCACTCACAAGAATGTATTCAGTGTGGCAAGAACGGACACGTACAACTGCAATGTAGGTGTGAGAAACGAAACATTTACAACAAAATTTCTGAGAAGAGGAATATAAAGATTACACTCTTGCATTATTTCACACATGTAAC